TGTCCAACCTGGCCTTGAACACTGCCAGGGATGGGGCAGCCACAGCTTCTCTGGGCACCCTGTGCCAGCGCCTCAGCACCCTCACAGGGAAGAACTTCTTCCTAATGTCTAATCTAAATCTCCCCTGTGTCAGGTTAAAGTCATTTCCCCCTCGTCCTGTCACTGCAGACCCTTGTCAAAAGTCAGTCTCCAGATTTCTTGTCAGCCCCTTTAGGCACTGGAACTGCTCTAAGGTCTCCCTGGACCTTTTCTTCTTCAGGCTGAACAAACCTAGCTCTCTCAGCCTGTATTCATAGGAGAGGTGCTCCAGGTCTCTGATGACAGATAGTTGGCTGAGCTGCCTGGTTCAGGCTTAAAGGCTGTAGGGTAAGCTTATTCTCTAAAATAAAAAATAGACCTGCATTTTAAGATTTAAAATACCAAAATCAAACAAAACTAAAACAAACCTGTTGCATGACTAAGTCCCCTTTCTTTACCTCTCCCAATTTAAAAGCTATGGATTCTCTATTCAGAATTGCTGAATATACACGGGTTGCGTGGTAATAGAAAGTAATGAACATCACTGGGTGGAATGTATTATTTAAAGGCACTGTGTTTCTAGAGCTGTTGCATATTTAATAGCTGTGTATATTATACTACGCCTATTTGAGGCTTCTGGGTGGGTTTACAGTAGCGAGGAATCAATATCCAAATGTTCATCCGTATGGGTGCAAGTTTTGAGTGGAAGCTAAAGCTGCTGCTTGTCAGTTATTTTTCACAAAGGACTTGTTTCTTCAGCTGATGGAGCTGAACCTGTGAAGAAAGAATAAAGGTCTGAAAATGTATATAATGTTCCAGATGCATAGTCAGTCTTGAGTAAGGTATAAAGCTGTTCACTAGCAGCTTGTGAATTTGAAGACTTAGGAGCTATTTAAACTCTGAAAAGTTATGAATTGGATATGTTATTTTTACCTTTGATTTGGAAGCTTAATGCTTTTCTTAATCTTATCCATGCTGACCACCTAATCACTGTGCCAAGTGTATGTCACTTGATATGTTTAGAGTGCTTTACAAAACTAGGTTAGCATGTATAGTCTTGAGTTGAGGAATTTTTATCATTACAAGTAATTACTGAGGACTCTGGTATTTATAACAAAATAGAAACTCTGCAAATCTGAATAGCAGTTTAAAACTAGCAGCTTTAAGCCTGTCAGTGAATGTCCAAATAGTAATTGTCTTTTATTGGGAGAAGTTGAATTCTTTATATGTTGATAACAAAATGTGGTAGTAACTGTCTTTCTAAATACAGACATTATTTGGTTTTACAGTTTGGAAGAATATAAATAAGTTCCTGGGAAAACTAATAGCTATAATTAATTCAGAAATGTCACTTACTACAATCTGAATAAACTGTGTAATTTCTAAGTAACTGTGGCTTTTGCTAATTCTGGTTTTTTGTCGTATGTTGGAGGCCAGTATATGATGATGTTAGTTCAGCCACAGTTGTCATTGTATTCTGGTGTAGAAGTGTTCACCTGTTGTTTTGCCAATACCTTGTCTGGTATCTGGGTGTAATAACAAATCTATGTCAAATGCAGCAAGCATTTTGGACTACTCGTGGTTGCTTTGTACTCTCTACTTGGGGTATCTCTGATCTAGAGAGTCAGATTCACTCTGGCTTCTGGAATTTTTTTCTGTGGAAAAGTCCTTTTAGATAAATATTTTATGTACATCAGGTGTTAAAACTTGAGGGAAGGACAGTTGCATAGTTACACAAGACTTTGTTGTCCAAGTAACTTACGAGTTACTTGTCTAACTTTGAAATTTATTGAAACAGGGATGTAGGGAGAATGGCCTTTGTGACTCCTTAGCTATTCACTTCATCTGGCATTCGACTTCAGGTGGCTTGGGATGAGCCCAGTGTTTTAACTGAAGAGGTGAGATTGAAAGCCATCTGTCATCTTATCTCAGTTAAAAGGTGTAAAGTAAGAATCTTGGAGAGTAAAGTTTGGTTAGATGGTGCAGTCAGCCTAGAAAATAACTTCAACATGTTCTTTCTTCTAGCTGGCTTCCCCATGGGCTATGCAGCGGCTGCTCCTGCCTATTCCCCTAATATGTATCCTGGAGCAAATCCTACCTTCCAAACAGGTATGTGTAATAGGTATGTTAAAGCGCTAACATGAAGCTTAGAAGTTGTTAGAACTAAGAATGAGGAAGAGCTGTAGGGGCTTACAGTAACACTTATGCTGTGGGATAAGTTTTACATTCCTTTGAATGACTCATAGAGAATCATCTGATAAATGGAGTATAATCTTGTCTTAAATCATACTGCTTTCACCTTTGGAGAAGCAAAAAGCTGAGGTTTTAGCTGTTGTTTTTGTATTTCAGGCTGGCACTTGACAGTTGCGTTTGCCTTCACAGCTTCCTTTGTCGTTCTGCTTGCTTTGTGTCCTACTGGCTGTTTCCAGATCCCTGTTTTTCCTTCTGTGTGTTGTCTTCAAAATTGTTCTGTCATCTTATTTTTAAATCATATCTTTCTAAGTTGAGCCTGCTGCCTTCTTTCTGCCCTTAAAATTGTTGCAAGACAATAAACCAGTCATCTGGAAAGCCTGATTGCTGGTTAAAACAGTTCTGTCCATAGTGGATACTGGGGGAGGATTTAGGGAACTGCACTTGGATGCTTTTCATTTGAGAGAGGCAATGTGATGAGCCTAGGAAAAGAGAGATGGAAAAACAGGCACAAGAGAAACCAAACAATGACAATGGAAGCATCAGAAAGATCATGCAAATTAATTCCTGGCTCCTGGACTGGTGTCAACATCAGAATTTTGAGGTTGTTGGCCATGGGTCAGTTTACGTGGCACCAGGCCTGCTGGCAGCAGATGGGGTATGCCTGTCCCAAAGTAGGAAAAAGGATCCTAGCCCAGGAGCTAGCAGGGCTCAGAGAGAGGTCTTCAAAATAGGTTTGAAGGGGAAGGGAATAATAACACCAGGCTGGCTAGAAATGAGCTGGGTGTAGCATGCCACTGTCTGAGGCCAGATCCAAAGGGCATCTTAAATGCATCAATGCCAACAAACAGGAGGATCTGGAAGCCACTGTGTAGCAGGGGAGTCATGACGTAATTGTCATCACAGAAACATAGTGGGATGATTAGCATGATTGAAATGCTGCAGTGGATGGCTACAGGCTTTTCGGCAGGGACAGGCAGGGAAAGAGTGGGGTTACGTTGTATGTCAGGGAGTGCATTGACTTCCTTGAGCTCAGTGTTGTGAGAGAGAAGGCTGAATGCAGGTGAAGATCAGGCCATCCAAGCAGATATCCTTGTAGGAGTCTGTTCTAGACCACCTAACCAGAATGAAGCTACGGACGAAGTGTTCTTCAACTGGGAGAAGTTTCACAATCGCTTGCCCTTGTTCTCAGGGGGGACTTCAACCTACCAGATGTCTGCTGGAAGAAACAGTCCAGGAGCTTCTTACAGGGTGTGGAAGTTAACTTCCTAACCATGTAGACGAGGCTCATAGTGACGTGGTTTAGTAGTGGACTTGGCAGTCCTGGGGTAGTGGTAGGACTTGATCTTTGAAGGTCTTTTATAACCTGGTTGATTCTGTGATTCTGTGTGAAAGCAGTCACTAAAGTTGTTTTGATTTAGTTCTGCTTTTGCTAATAGAAGATGATTTTGATGTGGTGATGCTTGGAACTAAAGAGAAACTGGCAGTGTTTAATTTCCCCTTAAACCAGGAACATGCATCTGATAGAACCATATTCTCCTTATGGTTATTTTGCATACTGAGGAATTCCTTAACATTGCTTAGTGTAAGTCTTGGACATCTGCAGGAACTCCCTTGGGTGTGTGATGCCAGTTTTTTGGGTTTTTTTGTTGGTGAAGTTTTGTTGTTTTGTTGGGGTTTTTTTGTGGCACATAACCAAATTTGTCCCTGAATGCCCATGTGTAATTTAAGGGATAGGAAAGGATGCTGCTTGAAACTGTGAAGCTTATGTTGTGGATGCCTGCTTGCAGTATTGAAGTTCAGTGTTTGTACCATAGGGCATTTCGTGAACTACCAGGAGTTATGTTAAAGGATGTGGCAGCAAATACTGAGGCAGGACAGTAAGTCACCTAAAATGCTTGCCCACAAGAACCTGTTAGAAGTGCATAGCTGTGTGGCTTTCCTTGGAACTCTGAAGTGTTCTACTTCGTACACCCTGTGTCTCTGTTCAGTTTGCTAATAAGAGGCATAGCAAGTGCAGAACCGATTTTGGGCTTGCCTTTGTTCTTGAATTTAAGGGAGGGAAAAGAATGGATATTTTAAGTTCCAGTAATTAAGTAAATCCTTTGTCTAGGGTACTGCCTCTGTGTAAGTACCGTATCCGGGGGTGTCAGCTTGCATTTGCACTGGGTTGCTTCAGAATTTTCTTGAGAGTGATGCTCAAGGAAGAGCAGTTCCCATCAGGGTGTAACTCTTAGCATGGGAATTGAAACCCTACGTGGGCTTTCATAATCAGCTTGTTTTTATCCAGTTAATTGTGCTTTTCCTCTGTGTCAGTTGCGTTGTAGTAGAAGGTTACAGTTTTTGGGAAAGATTGTTTGCCTTGTTAGACTCAATTCTGTTTTAAGATTGGTTTGCATTGATTAATATTGGAATATATCTCATGCTACAATGCAAGGTAGGAAATTTACGATTGTGTGAAAAAGGAATAAAGGTGTAGAGAAGCCATGTACCATCTTCAAATGTCCTTAATTTTTTTAAAGGTATTACTATTAGAGCCTATTGCTACTGAATAGAAAATAAGCTTTTATTTCACAACTAACAACAGCTTTAATTTTTAGCTACTCTTTAAGCTATGAACTAAAGTTTGAAATGTCCAGATCTTCTAATTCAGGAAGATAACTTCAAGTACTTTGTAAATTCACATCAGGAAGGAGTACTTGAATGTGCTGTGATACTGCTGTTCAGAAAGGGCACCTTTTTACAGGTATCTTTTGTAAAATTTCTGTGGTTTTTGAATAACAATGTGGTTTACTTTTAAGGTCTTTGTTTGTTATAAGGGAGACAAAAGTTAAATGGGAAGGCGGAATAGTTCTTGCACAAATGTGCCACTTCGCAAGAATGAAAATGTAATTGCCTGTGCAGCTGTATCACTTTTAGAATGAGAGGGGGCTAGAATGAGGCCATAGTTGTAGTTCAGTTGTGGTGCTTTGTGTTCAACATTTTGTAGCTGAGTTTTTCAATGCTAACAACACCCCATACTAGAAATAGAAGTAACTTCCTCAGCATGCTCTATTTGTGAAATGCTTAGGATCTCTAAAAGTGAGAGTTCAGAGTAAGTGCTGTGGTAGCTTGCTTTAGTGTCTCTAAAGGTGATAGATACCATTAAAAAAACCCTAAACCCCACAGTAAACTACTTCTTTGTGAATGTAACAATTTTCTGTGTGAAGGGTGGAATGAAATTGGAAGGAATCTCAGACTTCTGCAAAAAGCATGAAGGTCATCTCTCATCAATGCTGTCTGCAGACTGATCTTTCACAACACAAATGCCAGTGTTCTTTCTGCTCTGTGGCTTCAATTCCATTCTCTGTATTGAAGTCGGCACATTCTAGACAGTTTTTGAAGTCAACCTTTTCTCAATTCTGACAGTCTTTTTTTTTTTTTTTTCTTTTTTTTTTTTTTTTCTCCTACAGTTACCAAGTATTTTTAGTTCCTTTTGTTGCCGTAGTACTAGTTTGCATGATTCCAGCTAAATAGAAATCACACCTGTGGATATTGTCTCCTAGAGTGATAAACCTGTGTGAGACCCAAGATCTCTTCAGCATAGCACAGGCTAGGGCCTTGATGCTTTCCCCAGGATAGGTCATCCCTGTTACTAAGTACCCTAAATGTCATTACTGGTGGATGGTGCTGCAAAGGTATTTGTATTGCCACTCTGGCTTTTAAGCCATAGTATAATCTTGGGATTGTAGTGTGCAGCAGCAGTGGTGCTTCTCTTCCATGCCTTATCAAGCTCTTGTTCTGTTATCCTGAGGCTGACTGATGAGGGCTGGAGAAATTATGGAATAATTGTCTTTAGGCACAGTGAACCAACAGTTGCTGTTTATCCTTGTGAAAGTCAGAACAGTTCCCAGCATCTACACAGCAGACTGATTATGGGGCCTTGTAATAGGCAGAATTCTTTCTGGTGGCTCCTGAAGTCTTATTGTAATGTCTAAAATAATTCTTAAGTGATGATTAAGGGGAGTGTGTATGTAAATAATACACAAAAAGAAGATTTAAAGAGAAAGTACCTTCAAAGTCTGATTTTCAGTTGTGATGAACTCTACAGTGCTTGTGTGTTAAAGGTGTGACCTTTCATATTTATTTTAACCAGTTCAGAAGATGCCAGAAAACAAATACGAATAAATAAATGTAAGTTACAGTAGATGCTGTAGTTTGAGTCTCTCTGTTCTTTGGAAATTCATCTTGAGCTCTTTACATGATTCCTGACTTCTGAAATTGCTATTCTGTGCTATATCATCTCCTACAGAAGGAAACTGCAGGTTAGTTAACCATTACTGTGTTTTGCCAGGACATTTTGAGGCGCATTGAGAACTGGGCTCATATGAAGCTATGCCAAATCCTGCTATGTAGGAATGCTGCTTACTATGCCAAATACAAAGATTTAATGATATTGCAACAAAAATCCAAACTGCTTTTTTTTAAATCCCATATCCATAGATTTGAAAAGCAAATTGTGCAAAAATAGAAATAACTGTCAATGCTTAGTTGACACAGTCAAGCATATTACATAAATGATAGAACTCGTGCTTAGATATTGAGACTAGCCTACTGAGTATTCACATGAAGATTGAGGAATTTGGAAATTAAGAAAACTGTTATCCCTGACTTCAGAAAGCAGTGCACTGACACTTATTTTCCATGTATTTTAATGCAGATTTACCTTTGTTTCAGGTTATACACCAGGAACCCCATATAAAGTATCTTGTTCACCCACTAGTGGAGCAGTGCCACCGTATTCATCATCACCGAATCCCTATCAGACTGCTGTGTACCCAGTTCGAAGTGCCTATCCACAGCAGAATCCATATGCACAGGTAAATGGACAAAACCAAAAACCTGTCTTGTCTGGATGGTATTTTGTTTACCTTGTTAATATCTGCTTGAACTCTAAATTTTATATCACATTTATTTCTTCATGGATGGTGAAAACTTTAACTACTTACACCTTGTAAATCACTACTAAGAATTCTTACAGTATGTACTGTTGCACAGTCTTGCATGACAGTTGCTCTACAGTTACTGATCATGTGTTCAGCCTTTGAAATGACACTAGATTCAGTAGCTTTAAAAAAAATGTGTGCTGGATGCTCCAACTACCACATTCTGATTTTGTTTTGTCATAAACTGTCATAAGCTTGCATTGATGTGTTTTTTTAGGAAGCCTCTGTTGTGATTCAGGGAGTTACCAAGTCTCATCCTAGGCAAACTGTTGAAAACTAGTAGGGAAGAATTAAGACACTTCATTGAGCTTGATATTTTGGAAAAGCTGGCCCTCTTTTTGCATGGAGGAAACTTGCCTGGCATGTACACAGTAGCTGAAGGGAATTAATAAGCACATACCAAGTTTTATCCAGTGTGCTTGGATTTGTCAGAAATATTTGTTTCTTTAACTAAAAGCAGCTGAATAAAAAGTTGTGAAAGAGTGAGAGAAGTTTGGTCATGGATTAATACATGAAAGGTAGGAAACAGAATGAATGACAAATGAGTCCATGTTGTAGATGGTACAGTCAGCATTGGAGTTTTATGAAGGAAGGTCCCTGCTTTGAATGTTATCCTAAATGCCTTAAAAAGGGGCTAAATGTTTAGAAAGTTTGCCAGTGAAACACAATAGTTTAAATGAATGTTTTGGTTTCTGCTCTGTAAATACATTGCATCTTTAGAATAATGCTTTTATGACACAATCATAGAATCAACAAGGTTGGAAAAGACCTTCAAGTCCAACTGTTCCTTCAGCAATGCCAAGTGCATTAAACCATGTCACTAAGGGCCTCATCTTTGTGGGTTTTGAACACTTCCAGGGACAGTGATTCCATCCCTTCCCTGGGCAGCCTGTTCCAATGCCTCCTTATGAAACAAAACACCATTTATCTTCCCCACTGTAATTACTTAACTTGCTTTTTTTTTTTTTCTTTCCATCAGCAAGGCACTTACTACACACAGCCTTTATATGCAGCACCACCCCACGTAATCCACCACACCACAGTTGTGCAGCCTAATGGCATGCCAGCAACTATGTATCCTGCTCCAATTCCACCACCAAGAGGAAACGGTGTGACTATGGGGATGGTGGCTGGGACTACTATGGCAATGTCAGCAGGTATGTGAATTTACAACCCTTATGTTTCCTTGATTCAGACTGTCCTTTCAGTTCAAGACAGAACACAGCTGCATTACCGAAGTGTGATGCCAGAGGTGTACTTGGCAGAATCATAAAATCATATAGATTAGAAGGGACTTCTGGAGGTCATCTAGTCCTGGGTCTTCAAATTTGATCCAACTAGATCAGGTTGTTACTTGTTCAGTGGTATTTGTATCATCTCTAAGGATGGAAATGCCATATCTTCTGGCAGGTATTAGTATTACGATAAAATAATTTTATTTATATCTGTATGGAATTTCACTTCTTGCATCCTTCTCATCTTACCAGTGTCAAGAGTCTGACTTCTTCTCAATGTATTTCTCTATGCCTAAATGAAAACAGCAACCTCTTAAGACTGAGAAGAATGCAGTGTTTTCAGTCCACCCCTTGAACCACTGACACTCTTCGTGTGTTGAGATACAAAATTTTATGTGCTTGCACTCCCTGCAGGTCTTCTGTGTCATTTGCAATGGTTAGGGATGCCTACTTCCTAATGCCACGCTCCTACCTTTTTTGAGTAAATGATGTTTAACCAATAACCTAGGCTCATCTATGAGTGTTTACTGAGGGGGTGTCATGCTATATTACTCAGTGGGTGTTAACTCACGAGCAAATGTTCATAGTCTTTAATTTGAGGAATGTCAAAACCAGAGAACCTGTGTGTCACAAACTGTGAGCTAACGTTGGAGTTTTGTATGCTGGCAAGCTTATCCCAGGTGTTAGTTACTGTTTCTGCAAAGTTCTATGGAATAAGGCTGTTTTAAGATCCTGCTCTCTCAGCCTGTTTGTTTCTGAAGCCCCTTAGTCTGTAAAAAACTATCTGTAATAACACAAACAAGAACAAATTTATTCTGATTTATCAATCAAGTTACTTCTACCATCAGATATTTTTATGGCACGTAAAGCCTGCTGTGGGGAAAAGTTTTGCAGTGAATAATGCTTATGTTGCAGGGTTTCTGTTAGACTATTTTTGAGTAATGAGTATCTTTGTGTGCATTGGACTAAACACCCGAATGATCCACTTGCATAAATGTTTGAAGGAGGATTGGGGCTGGAGGGCAAAAAATACTGGTAATTTTGAATTGAAGATGAGCAAGTTCTAATTGTTTTTATAACTCTTCTTCCCCATTTATTTGCTCTTTGTATTAGAGTTTGTGCTTACTGAAAAATACTCTCTTCATCCTAGGTACTTTGTTGACAACTCATTCCCCAACTCCAGTAGCCCCTCATCCAGTTACTATGCCCACGTACCGGGCTCCGGGAACACCAACCTATAGTTATGTGCCCCCACAGTGGTGATCATCTGGCAGTCAGTGTAAGTTACTGATTTAGATTGAAAGCAGTTAATCTTTGCTATAAATGCCAGCACTGCAGGTTCTTTCAGGGAGATATTTTCAGAAGGTAAGCAGTCTGGGGTACTTCTGCACTATTCTAATTGAGTAAGAACCACAGAAATTACTGCTTATATAACAGCTGTTGTCTGCAAGGGAGAGAAGCCTACTGGGACTTCAGTGGTCTGTATCTTTGGAAGTCAGTCATTTTCATGGTTAACTGTTGAATGTGAAAGAATGAACCTCAAGTTTTCCTTATTAAAATATATCTGGGACTAAATGTATTCAGTATTCTGGATTCATTGGTAATTGTTGAATTCAGAAGTACTGTGATTCCTGGATGAAGCAGTGCATGTAGATTTGGAGTCTTATTTTTGATGGGCTAAATATTTAGGCAAGGTAAGTGTTTTGCCTTGCCCTGAGGCTGAATCTCTCACAAACTGCTAAAACAAATACACAATCTTGAGTTAATTTTATATCTTCATTTTGTTTCAGGTAAGTATCAGTTCACACTTCTTGCAGTCATGGAAAAGAATGTTCTAGTGTAGATTAACACTAGGAGTTTCATGAAAAGGAGTTCATTTTGAAATCTCCTGTAACATGGGATAGATTTTTGGGGGTGTAATGTGTCAAACTGACAAAGTCTAATATTTTGGGGATCCTCACTTCTGTTTCTGGTTTTGTTTTGGGGTTTTTTGTTGTGGGGGTGGTTGTTGTTGGGTTTTGTGTTGGTGATTTTTAGCATAAATTGAAAATGGCTTCCTTTAAATAGGGGCTTGTCAGACCAAATGAACTTGAAATCTTCACTGTGAGTCCATTTAGCTTATGATAAAATTAACTCTGATTTTATGTTTCAATAGTTAAGAGTCCAGAGTTCTGGACTGGAGGAGATTGTATTCCCTTTGAGTTAGTAATGCGACAGCCATTTCTTATTTTGCTGTGATATTACTTATGAATTGCAAACCTGAAATGTTTCACTTGCATAATGCGACACTCTTGGATGAAATAATGTGAGTATAAGAAGTGAGAGTTTTGCTGTGACTAAACTTAAGACTGCTGATAATTAAACTTAGTATAAAATACATTTTTAATATTGCACCATCAACTTAAGACTGCAATGATGACAGCTGAAATAGAGATGATGGGAGAAAATCAGTGTAGTGAAATCTTAAACTAGGAGCTTATAGATTTCAGTTGACTGGATAAGTGCTAGGGTAGCATTATTAACATCTGTTGTATGTGCATTATCAATACAGTGCATGCAATGTTAGAATGTTGTTCCACCCTGAAATTAGTATTTCACATAATTGAGAATGTTTCCTACTTTCCCCCTTCCTCCCCCCTCTTAACGTAGGTTTGAAGATGGGAGATATGCAATCAAGAAATTGAGGTTTAAAAGTTGGTGCTGAAGCCCTCATGCCTCCAACCAGGACTTTCCTTCTGAATGCTTTCAACACTTGGCTAAACACTACTAATTCCTGATCACTGAAGATTTTCCAGTGCTGCATATCTTACATCTTGGAACTCCAGCAGTTAGTCTTAAAGCAAATCCTGTTTTGTGGACTGTCTTGCAATTTTCTAGCTAATTATAAAGATAAAAAGGGAGTATAAATTTATTCTGATCCATATCTAGTTGAATGCATGTTAAAACACAAAAACAAAGCTTGCTCAATCTACCTGCAGTGACTGATGCAAAAACCATCATATGCAAATCCAAAGGAACCGAAAAGTATTTTACAACTTGTATCACTAATGCACTGTTGTAATATATGCAGGGTCTTAAGAGGTAGAATCATGAGTTTCTTTATAGAATACCATAATATACATTAGGTAAGTGCATCAGCCTTTTTCAGGTTGATGGAGTTGCCAGTTTAAAAGGGGCATATTTTTATTTAAGTGATGTATTCTTTTCAAATTCAACTACTAAATTGGAGTGACTGGAAAATGAGTCAGACAAGCTGTAGAAATCCCGCACACAGTTAGTTTACTTCATACCTTTTCATTTTCATTGTATGGGTTCAGTGTTATACAGATGTTCTTAAGGATCAGAATGAAATGACAAAGGTAATGCTGTGTGTGCCAGTAAATAAAGCAAACTTCCTTGAGGCAAAACTGGTTCTTAGGAATAGTAGGGAGGTGATGTCACCTGCATAATGAATTGCATGTCCTGGGGAGATACATATCCAGTACTATCTTTCATATGATGCGAGATGTGTCAAAGTGAGACTGCCACACAGACGGATAGAAAAACACTTTCTTTTAGTTCTCAGTTCAGGAAATCCATGCTGTTTTTCCTAAAGAATGTTGTAGTCAGTTGAAAATGTATGTGCAGTTGATCCAGCTTGCTTTCCTGAAACTTCAGTAATGTTAGGGCTTTCTACAACAAACAGGAGTTCAGCTGCATGTTATTCTGAGGAAAGCTTGTGTGCCTGATGAGTATGTTAAAGGGGAACAAATCATTTTAACACAATTTCCTTATTAGCTACTTGCAGTAAGGACTATGGCTATGCTGTAGCAGGGCTGCCAGAATATAGAAGTTTTGAATAGTTGTTCTCTTTTTTTTTCTTTTTTTTTTTTTTAATTTTATTTTTAATTTTTCCTGAAAATATTTGTAATTAAAGTAGGAGTCACTTGTTGGTTACAGCATTTTGATGTGTTTTCTTAGTATTTTCTTTTTTTACTTCCTAAATTGCACTTGGAAGCACATGAAATTAGACTTGACTGCAGATTAGCATTTCATTGCAATGAGTCATTTGTGATATTCGTTCTTGCAACTTCGATTTTTAAAAGTACCTCAAAGCAAATGCTGTGGGATAAAGGGCTAGCCTTAGAATCCATTTGTATACCAAAATTGCTACGGGGGAGATTTTAAATTTTTAAATTTGAATATTGCACATTTAAAATCAAGGGTTTTCTTAAACCTGCTTGACTTTACAATTCCATAAAGATGCGATTTTTCTTTTTTTGGATACATTCTGCCTGCAATAACTAACGCAGTAAATGGTTATAAAATGTTGTTCCCTTTTAATCGTTTACACAGAGGTGTGTCAGGCTGTGTTGTTCTTGTAGGTTAACTTCCATTCAGAAGTCAATTTTTTTTAAACTTGTATGTCTAGTTATGCTTTGTTTTGGGGTGTTCTGCTCCTGTACAGATTTGGCAGCTACTTCAGGGTAGCATCAGTGCTGACTTAATGCTGCCGTTCCAGTACTTTGCCCTGGTGGGAGGCTTACGAACCTTCATGACCTGTTGGTAGTTAAAGCCTTCAGTAATTTTATTTTATAGTAAGCACTCTCCATATTTTGTACTGCCCTCTTTTTTTTTTTTTTTTTTTTTTTTTTTTTTTTTGTTGTTGTTGTTTAATAAAGTTTAGGTTTATTTTGCATGAATCACTGTCAGTGGACCGCCCCCTTATTTCAAATGCCTTGAACATAACTATGTTGTTGGAATAAGAACTTTAAACCTTGCTCATGAGCACTTACTGCAGCTTAGGGATTTCTGTATGTTTTTATATGGAGCAGAAAATTACCCCAGACAAACTTAATTGAATCTGTAGTGCTTCATTCAAGTCTGTTTAACGATTCCATTTGTGAAGTAGATTTGCAGCTCTGATTAGTCAGGTGTGCCAGAGAGTACAGTGAACATTAATACAGGCCATTTGTCCATTTTAGCTAGTAGAGAGTGACATTTTGTTGTTTAGCATGACTTGTAAAAAGAGCTGAGGTATGAAACCGTGCTATATTGGGGAGAAGCTATAAAGAACAAGCTCTAAGCTTTGCTGTCTCCTGTCTCATCACCCATTAAACTAAAGCTTTGAAAATAGGAGAGAACTTTCATGAATGCTGCAATAGATAAATAGTTAAGGAATGAATATAGCTTCCTATGTATTCGCTCTAACTTCAGATTCCTAAATGTCATCTTGGAAATGGTCTCTGTGTAATATTCCATAACATTTAGGCAGTCTCACTTACTTGAGCACTTTTATTTCTAAGTTGCATTATGGGATTCATCCACGAGGGGGAAACTGTACCTTTTTTAAAAGGTATCACACCTCCTAGGTTTGATTATAATCTGCTGGGAGGGTTGATACGGAAAGTAACCAAAAGCACAGTGCAGGGGGACGGGGGGAATACGTGTATATATAACTATCTTAATGGTATTTTGTTGCAAATAGTAGAAAGCATGGATATAAAACTGCAGCGGGGGAAACTGTACATCATTAAATAGGCGTTTACACAGCGAGGGTCTTATGAAACATTCTCTCCTGCTTTTTATATAACATTCCCTGTTTAGAATTCCTTTATAAATAAATACGCAGTATGTGTTTGCACTAGAGCTCCTCAGCAAAAGAGCTAGTGCAGTAGAGACATTTCAGATCAAGCTTCTCTTTAAAAAAAAAAAACAAAAAAAAAAACAAAAAAACACAAAAAAACCTTTTATGGCAGCTTTATATGATTAAACAAATAAAAGTACTACTTCAGACCTGGAACTGAAAATAACTGTTGCAGCAATAACAAAGAGAAGTCTGAGAAAGTTTTGGGTTGGTTGGTTTTGGTTTTTTTTTTTTTTTAATTCCAATTTTAGGTGTTGAATTTAGGTAAAGTATTTTTTAAAAACTGAGGTATTCCCTATGTCAGTAAGAACTGATTAAAATGTCTTTTACATGTAGCAGCAGCAAAAAATGGCTCATATTTGGCACCAAAACCATGTAGCCCTAGTCAGTGGTGTGGTGGTTATTAATGAAACACAAGGAAGGAGAACAGAACCTACTACTAGACCTTGTTTATGCTTGTTGTAACCATCTCCTGTTTGAAGTTTTTAGGAGACATACAAGGAATGCTGTTCAAGAAAGCTTCGTTTTGAGTGTACTATGCAAGTTAAATGCTTAGATGCAGTGGTAGATGAAGAAAATCCTTTCTTTTAGCTGAAGTCCTTCCTTGTATTGCTTCATCCACTGAAAAACAAAAAAATCCCAAACCGCCACCCGTAAGTACCACCATGTCTTAGTGTTGTTTGAGAATAGTTCATGGTACAGTTGTATACCAGGGTACTCAACATTGACTACTCTTTACAGAGCATTCTGGCTTCACTGCTACTTGGGTAGTGAGGCCACTTAAGATATCTGAGCAAGAGATGGTCAGAATTGACTTGGAATCATCCCCCAGTGCTTAAGCACAGTATTATACACCATTCACCTGGGTTTAGAATGTAATTTTGATTGAACAGGTAAGCACAGCAATCTGATACCACCACTCAACTCTAGGCTTAAACTCCTACTGGAGTGTAGTAAATGTCATGTATGTGAAATCTCTCATCTTAGGAGCATGAACAATAGTGATGCTTCAGCTGGAACTTGTGGGGAAGAGGACAGATGCTGTGATTGTTGAGTGGTCGTTTGCAGTTGCCTGGGATGTGGTTTGTGCAGTAGTTGGTAGGAAATAGGCGTGATCCATATCCCGCCTTCTCCAGCAGGTGTCACTGGCCGACCTTAGCATGTGCAGAGGGTCACATGCAATCCATTAATCCTGTCCAAGTGTTTGTGAATACCTCTCATTATAAGTGTCAGCTTTCTAATCTGTATTTTACCTACTCTAAGCTTCCTGCAGAGACCCTCAGATTTGAGGGGGTAGAATGCCAGTTAACAGGAACAACTGCAGCAAAGCTATGATAGTTTTGTGGATCAAGCTTTGCCAAGAATCCAGTTCATTCTGAGATCTCTGAAGTAGTGATGACTCTTTCAGCGGGCTGTGTACACCTCTCTTGGGGTGTTGTAGACAGAAGAGAGGAATGAAGGAACAGCGCTTATCTGGGGACAAGGAAACCTTTTCTTGTGTGTGTTGAACAATAACACTGAAACACCTGATTTCCACAGGTAGTAAGGGTCCATTCCTGATTTAAAAAAATACTCAGTGATTTATGGGCTCTGAAGATTCAACATCCAGAAAGTGAATGTGACTTTTCTAAACTGTTGTGACTTTTGGGCACTTAGCAGGCAAACTGGGAAAGCTTTTTTTTAGCTGGCTGCTGTACAGACTTGTTTTAAGTAGAATGGATTTGTTAGTGGTGTTTTTTTTTTTTTTTTTTAATTGTAATGCTATTATTGGCTGCCCTCCTATATAAGATTTGAAAAAGTGAGTGCATGCAACGGAAGTACAAGAGGCCCCAGTAATAGTTCTCCATGTTTGTTATGAAATAGACACAGGTTTCCTTTTTATGACTTTTTTTAAAACTGTCTTAGGAACAGTTGTATTGGTACTTTTTTAAGTTTAGGTCAATGTTGTCTTCCAGAATAAGTTTTAAGGCATCACTCACTCCTGCATTGAACTATTGCATCAACACAAAGAGTGGAGATTCCATTCTGAGCCAGTTCAATTGTGAAAATTCATACTTTTTTATTTTTTATGCAATTCAATGAGTAGATGAGCTCAGATTAAAATTCTTAAAAGCACGTTTATTGTAACAAGAATTGTTATGTATTAATACTTCAGTTTTCAATAAAGATTGACTTGTGTTGCTTATTGTGGTTTTTTTCCTACTGTCTTTGGTGACATCCTTTTAGAAGAGATTCTGTTGTTGGATAGCAGTCTGGTATGTTTAAACTCCTTAAGCTAATGAAGTCTGGTGACTGATTGAAGCAAAACAAAACATCTAAATTGCTTAAGTGACTTTTCTCAGTAACATTTCTTAATGGCTAACAAAACAAAGGAATAAAAGGCTTCCCAATGAGGGATAAGCTGCCCTGCCTGAGAGTATGGTAAAGATAGTGCAAGCCTGCCTCATTCCCTTTTGAGGTATTTCATAGGGTTTGAGGGTTTTATTACTTTATAGCTTAAAACAAAGACAATGTAACATGTAAAATTTCACAGTGTTTTAGCATTTACTTAATACCAAATCAGTGCTGTTTCAGAGGTGACAGTCCTTGAGCAGAAAGCTGTTGTAGATCAGTGTCTTGAGTGTTCTCCAGAAGGAAAATAATCGAGTAGGTGTGAACTGTATGAAATCATCCTATTTCTTTAGAGTGTGGGTGGCTGTAAGTGACACTAATGTTAAAATGG